TGTCGAGAGTGTTTGTTTTAACAACACGATAAGCTCAATCAAGTTTAGTATTTAATATTCATTTATCAACATTATTAATTAATAAATATTGACATTAATAAATATTGACATTAATAAATATATTTATTAATAATAAATATTATTAATAAATGACTAATGGGAGAATAGAAGAGGTAATGAAGGAAAAGGTGACTCCGTAAGCAGTTGTAGTGGTGGCAATAAGAATGCGTATGCACAAGTCCTTGGTACTGTAATAGTGTGAGTGGCAGCGTCGGCCTATATATATATATATATATATATATATATATATAGACAGCCTTAACTGACAAGTTCAGTGGGTCAACTACTAGCGGTGAAACGTGCGTGTACACCTTCATCTAATCTCCCCTACCAGATTATCTTTCATTATTACATTTACAATGCTTATCCGATGTTTATAAATTAAAACGATGTAGTTAGCTTAACGATGTTTCGTTGTCTCAATAGTATAATTTACGTATTATACGTCCAAGAATTTTTTTTTTGTTTTTTTTAACTACTTAAATTTATAGAATAGAATTCTTCTGGAATAGAATTAGAAATGTTAAGAATATAGATTTCCAGGAAGATTTTTGGTAGAGATAATTATTGCATTATTAGATACAAAAAAATTATTGTTTGATTTATGATAAAATGAAATTTTTTTTATTAACTTGTATTTATGATTCATTACCCATAAGATTGAAATCTTACCAATTAAAATATTATATACGTCAATTACCGTCAATTTTCATTAAAAATTTAAAAGTAAGTAGATCATTTCGGTCATATATATTAATTTCCGGCCAATAACGACAGCAGCAATGTTGGCAAATTCTGTAATAATCAATAGCAAATGCTTGCTAAATAAGCAATCAATAATAATATTAATATATAAATATATTCATTACAGAAATCTAATTGGCACTCTATAGGATATTAATATATAAAAATTGAAAGTCGAATAAATATTCGGAAATTCTATTTTTTATTCTTTAGTAAACAAAAAAAAAAAAAAAAAAAAAAAAAAAAAAAAAACATATTGGTCTTATTATAAATCTGTAGACAATTATATTGAAAATTTTAAATTTGAAGACAATTCACAAGACCTTTTCATTATTAAAGTCGCGCCCAAAAAGTCTCCGATATTCTAAATCCTCACTTCTGGTGGTATGTTACATCATATAAATTTTTAAAACTATTTGAATTTAATTATTTATATAGATATGTAAATATAATACAAATTAGTCTGGCTAAAAAGATAAAATTATTTATTGTATGTAATATTTTATTAGTAAATTTACATTTTTATAAGATTTACGTACTCTTTTAATTAATTTATTTTGAGATATTTATATTACAAAAGTTTGATGTATCCATAATGTGTAATGAAATTGATAACAAAAACCAAATTTACTTGATTTTTTCGATTTAACAAATTTATCAAAGTTACTTAAATATCATTCGCTTATTTTCTGAATTGAAAATAATTACTACACTACCAATGTTTTTTAACTATCTTTTTATTTTTTTTTTTTTTTTTTTTTTTTTTTACAAATCTACGGGATATATTTGTAAAAAATATTGTTTAATTACTAATTTAACAGATTTAAAATTCATATTATTATAAGTTGTATTATTATATTATATTATTGTTGTTTTTATAACTTCTACGTTATAATATTATGTCATTATAATATTAATAGATTAACAATATCATATTTTCGATGCTTAAAATTCAATGAAATATATTTATAAATTTGTATGCGAATCAAATTCACGAACTTTACAATTTTTATAATTATTAGAAATTTTTTATTTTATTACTATTTCTATTCATTTGTTTAATCTATACAATAATATTCCGAACTTCAATAAGGGTGAAATCACACCAAATAATATTTTAAAACATAATCTTTCGATTCTTCCTAGCGATTAAAATTTTTATTTAGTTAGAAATTATTTGTTTCTCATGTAGATTTACTATTTGTGTCCTATTTAATTTTATTTTGAATGTTATGATAAATTAGTACTTATAAAGTCAAACATATATATCAAACATTTCAACTGAGTTTCATTATACACATAAGTTTCAGTCACGACTTTGTAAATTTAATGGCGTCGATATTATTAAGAAAACATGGCATATTCTTAGTAATCAAGATAAATATATAAGATATTATTAAAAAAAAATTTACAATGATATAAAGAAAATCGGCATATTATAAATGTATGAAAAATTTTTATTCTTTAATTCACTGTGAGGTAATTAATTAAAAAGAGTAATTTCATTTCATGATAGTGGATTTATTACAAAAGTGCATTTGCAAAATGACGATGGCATAGAATGCTGTAGATGCTAATACATAAATCGGTAAAATTGTCTACCAACGTACAAGTATCTTAGCGATTATACCATCATTAACCTTATAATCGGAAATATATATTTTTTAACTTTATATGGAATTAGCAGTGGGTAAGTGGTAAACGCAAAACGTAGTACGAAGAGACGAAATTATAAATGAGCGATAAATCTTCCTTTTTCTCACAATAACTTCGTTGCTTTAGTAGGCTACTGTTTTTTTTTTTTTTTTTTTTTTTTTTTTTTTTTTTTTCTTTTTTAAATTCACAATAGGGGGGAATAATGAACGAAAAGGTAAGAATCAAATTCGGGTTTGCGAGTATATAAAAGAAGATACAACATAATGAGGTAATAAGCGTATGTAATGAATATCATGATAATATTTGTACATTACAATATACATACATACACACATACAACACATGCACGCATAAACACGTACGTAAATACATGCATATACATAAATATCTACATATGTATATATATATATATATATATATATACATATGTAGATATTTATGTATATGCATGTATTTACGTACGTGTTTATGCGTGCATGTGTTGTATGTGTGTATGTATGTATATTGTAATGTACAAATATTATCATGATATTCACGTATTCACATATATATGATAAAAAAGTTTACGCTTTTAACAATATGGATTATAATGAAAAAAAAAATTTCCTTTTATTATTATTAATTATTTATTCTAAATTATTTATGAAACGAGTGTCGAAATAGATGAAATAGGCTCGTAGATGAAATAGGCATAGATTATTCGCAAATACATACGTATAATATCGCACATAAGGAACTATCTCAAAACTTGAGGTATTCGAAAATATAATAATGGTTCTACTTAAATGTCTAAGTGAGCCTATTTATTAAAGTAACATTATTCATTATACGAAATGGAAATGCTCACGGTCCCAGAGATCATACATACTCCTTGGCGTCGTGAGGATTCCAAACACACGCACACGTCACTCAAATTATTACTCATTTAGATAATAATATGCTTTTAAATATCGCTGCCGTGACAAGTCCACGATTTTTCGCAGCGGCGGAGCCTATCATAGACCGGATTTCATATTCCCATTAAAATTTATCATTTTAACGTGCCAATAATAATATTTTAATACCGTTGTACAGAGCAAAATGTGAAATACTTATGCTTAATGGCTGCTCAATAATCCATTATCAAGCACTCGATATTGTTTTGTTCGATATATTTCAAATATCATACATTAACGATGTACTTATATCGTGAAGAAACGGATGAAAAAAATTAATACTATTTAATATGTTAGCTTAATACAAACAATATCATATACTTCAACGTGTGATATAGATTATTAATTAATCAATTAAGAAGTTTTCATTCATTCATTTCAAGTGTAAATTGATTTTCATTATTGGCAATATTAAAATTTATAAATTATCAATTAAATATGTATTAATCAAGTCTATTACAATGTTATCATTAAATATTTATTAGAAATCCGGAAGGCTCTGGCAGCTGTGATATTGACAAATTCGCATTTTCATCACAGAAGCAAATTCCTATCACTAACGTCCAAAAACTTTAACGAAGCTAACTTATAATAACAGCATAATTCAGCATAATTCAGCATAATTCAGCATAATTCAGCATAATTATTGCAGTTTTGGATTAGATTTTAGTTCGAAAGGACCCTAAAAACCGTCACTTGGGCCACAGCGATTTTTTTACAGCAATTTTTATTATAATTCACTAGTACCAGTGATACCGAATCGAGATATTCAGCTGCTTTAATCGCGAAAGAATTCCATGAAAACTCACATCTAATTCAATTTCAAGCGCTGATGATGAAGAGGTGCATTTAAAGATTAATGGCTATATATGTTTAAATAGTAAATACAAAGAAAATGATGCTTAACTGTAAATTACAATAGATATTTATCTTAAATTTGACGATTAGCTTTATTACTTCGCTTGTGCCGAAGTAAAGGCAGATGCGCCAATTTAATGTTTCCGCGGAAGTATAAGATTCCGTAAAACTAGTGTCAAACATTAAAATAAAAAAAAATCCCTAGTAATTTATATATAAATTAAAAAGTTCTTCACCGTCTAACAATTATAATAGAGATGTTTGACGATTGGCGAACAATTTATTTCTCAAAATATATAAATGTTGACTTATAAATAATTTCGAGATTGTCTAGCGATCTATCGTCTTACATTCTAAAAGTCACGCTTAAAATTAAGAATGAGGCAGTTGAGTTGGCAAGAGCAGATATATAAAGGGAAAAAAAGAAATCAGTCGTTCGGTCGTCATGACTCGATGGCAATAAAATCGCAAAACAAATTCATACCAAGAATGCTATAAAGCCGTATATACATATATGCCAACACATGCCTATACAGAAAGAAAATCATCTCTTTGTAAAAGAAATTAGCATTATATAGAATGTAATATTATGCGTGTAATCATCGATTAATTTTCAAGTGTTCTTTACATTTATAGTTTTTTTTTTTTTTTTTTTTTTTTTTTTTTTTTTTTATCAAGAAACTACGAACCTGGTTTGTTTTCATGTGTAACGATAATAAAATAATTCTTTAATAATTCGTAGGAAGGAAAATATTTCATACTTGAATTATAAATTTTGACCTATCTTCAATCGAGACGAATATTACTTTCTTACATTCTACGCGATCGTCTATGCAGACAGTAACGATCGTATAATCTAAATTATCAATATCCATGTATTATTCTTTCTTGTAGAAATCATGAGTCGGCAAATGTATTATTACTCTGATATAATGCGTTATAAATTTCTTTATAAAATCAGTCCTCATCAGGAAAGGAGCAATAATATTCGTTAGAAAATTAACGCGATATGCATGCGATTAGAGTGCGAGGAACTTCATCAGAGCATCATAAATGAGACGTGGATTGATCGTTCCATCCGCGGTGTATCTGACTCCTCTTAATGAACCATCATCGTGACTAACGACACCATATTCCCCAACGATAAATCCATCCGGTGTCCTTTCTTCCACTCGGTATTTTCGGTAATTGCGCCCTTCCACCACATAACCCACCTTATGGCCATCTTCATCGAGATTAGTAGCTTCGGTAAATGATTGTGGACCATGAGCGTTGCCGTTACTGCCGACGCTCACGGCCTCGTCTACCTCGTAATTGTTTTCCTCCGGCTCGCCCGCAGCTTGTCCGTTTGTATTATAGATCTTTGCTGGCTCACCGTATATCTTGGAGGGCTCCGAGTAAACCTTAGCCGGTTGCGAATAAACTTGCGCAGGCTCGGAATAGATTTTTTCTGGCTCGCCGTAGATTTTGGAAGGTTCGCCGTATACTTTCGATGGCTCGCTGTAAACCTTCGATGGTTCTCCGTAAATTTTCGCAGGTTCTGAATAAATTTTCGACGGCTCGCTGTATATTTTTTCTGGCTCCCCATAGATTTTGGATGTCTCGCCGAATACCTTTGACGAATCGCTGTAGACTTTCGCGTGCTGATTTTCATAAGCTTTGCCATTTTGTTTCGTGGCATAAATTTTCGTTGGATGATTAAACGACGATTCTTCAAAATGCCTGCCTACCTTACGCCCCTGATTACGCAACAGAGGTCCTTGAACTTCGGGCAATTCGTGATTTATCTCTTTCATTTCAGAATTGCCCTCTGCAAACTCGTATCTTTGTTCAACGGGTTCGGTATTGCTGCTGCTCACGACTGAATCCCGGCTATCATGATGTTTATCGACCGGTATCGTATGATGCTTTAGAGTAGGTCGTGGGGTAACAAAGGTTCGATCCTGCAGGCTTGTCTTTGGTGCTCCTTCTTCCACGGAGAATTCGCTTCTATTCGATTCCGAAACTATGTTACTGAGTTCCTCCGTTACAAGGCGAGCAGGCGACGGTGTAACGTCCATAATCTTCGTAGTTCCTTGGGCTTGGGAAAGCGTCGTGGAAACCGACGATGAAGTTGGTATTGTATAAACCGTCGTGGCGATTACCGGTGGTGGCCGTGTTATCATCGAGATATCATTAGGATCGTGATGCTCGACTCTAACTTTATAGGGTGTCGCTTCGACGCTAGATGTCACGCTTACGCCAATTACTTTTTGGTTCATAGGCTTGGCGGACTTGTTAGACGTTTTGCCATTATTATGAGACTTTCTAGCGGTATCGCCCGTTTTGGCTATAAATTTTGAGGATATATCACCTGGTCTGCCAAGGTCGTCTACGATCGTTTCGAAGCTATGATGCCTATTGTCCAAAAGTTTATGACTGATCGGATAGTAGCGTATACCCTCTTCACGGTTCAAGGTTGTTCGCGGTCTTGCTACAGTAGGCTTAACCGAGATCGGCACCCGAGATATTCTAAATATATTGGCTTCATCGTTTTTTGATTCAGCAGCAACATTGTCAGCTGTGTTACTGCATTTGAGACTGATACGTCGTCGCGTTGGACGAGGAGCCATAGCTCCATTGATGAAGACGGAGAGGAATTCCGTGCCAGCTAGAATGTCGTTCTTTTTGGAGGACACAGGCGCGGGTGCTGCTAAATTTTGTTCCCATACAAGTGTCGCTTGCAGCAATATCTAAAAAACATAAGAACGTACGTATGAGTATCATGATATTTTATCTTGCGTATATATATATATATATATATATATATATATATATATATTGAATTGAGCCTCAATTCCAAGAGGTCAATACATTTGTGATTCGTTTATTAATATAGAAAATTATTTTATTATGAATTAGTGCATTATTGAATGAATATATTTACATAAGTGTGCTTGTACATGATTAAAAAATATATTGTTTTAAATAGTAAAAGTAGAGTGTTCGGTAATTAATTAAAATTGGTAATTCTAAGGTATTATATCCTGACACAAATCACCTTTAGTCAATATTTTATAATATAAATTAATTTATATGAAATACATAATTGAATTATCTTACTGCCCAGTGAAATTATTAAGAAATTTTCCTTTAATTTTCATTTTGATATTATTGATTGACATTATATTGATAATAGAATGAAAAAAAAGAAAAAAACAAAAATACGCTAATTTAATTTATTGAGATTGTATGAGAGCGAAGTTTACATGTCTGATATCACTTCGTTATTATAAATAGAAAAAATTAATTCCAACGATGCTTCGGTTATTGAATAGAAAATATTTTAATTGTAAAAAGTTGGATGGAAAATTTTTGATTTTTTTGCTTACAGTAAATACATTTTTGCACATCTGAAATTAACAGCAAACGTTATAATAAATACACTTTTAACGACTGCCTATTACTAGTAAATATGATGATATGACGTTTTGGCAACTCTATCGATAAGGACATAAATCCCATCTTAAAGCATTTGTGTGCTTCCATTTACAAAATATATAGTAGTCTAAAAATATAGTACATTTTTTAAAATTTAACGAGCAAACACCATACTATTCCCGTACAATTAATGATTTTGTTTATCCTCTATGCTATGCAATTCATATGGTAAGTTTTTTTTTTTTTTTTTTTTTATGGATAATAAATTTTTGTAAGCATCTCACTCAGAATCGGATTAGTCATCTCATAAACTTTGTGTCGCCAGCTAAGTGCTATAATTTCTTACATTCTCAGCGGCATAAGGGGCAAACGTATGAGTGACCGTAAAAGAACGAAGGTCATCAAGTCGCATACACGACTTACCATTTCTCTGCAGTCTACTATCCATGCATGCAGGTATGTATCACATCGATTTCTATAAATTAAATACTTGAGAAACTAAGGAATGCTTGGAGTCATTTACGATAATTCTCCAATGCATTGATTTGTTGCATATATGTCGTGGGAGGATTGAAATTTCGAATGCTCTGCTTCACACTTTACCACTGTCTATTATAAAAGATTTTCCCAAAAACGATCATAGCCCAATTATGCAATTATTCCATTGCTGTAAAATTATTATTTATTTATTTATTTTTTTTTTTCATCGGTACATTTATAAAGCTATTGTCAATTGTAAAACGCATTATCTATTGTAAAGGGCTTGAAAATTTTAGCATAAAATTTCGGTATTAACTGAATTTGTTAATTTTATAATTTTGAAACTTAAACGAATGGATTATATTTCAAGTCAATTTTTAATTAAAATTATAATACAATAACATTTATTATTGCTCATAATTACAAGATTAAAGTAAATATGTATAATACGTTCATTAAATTTCCAGTTACGTGCTTATGGGTAGAAAATTTTTAAATCTGAACGGACTTTATAAAGTGTTGCACCTTTTAAATACTTAAAATGATTGATTATCGATGCATCAAATAGTCCTAATGAAAAATGGTTGGAAAAAAACGAAAGAAGTTCTGCTTCGATTTCTTCGAATCAATATGATGTTTGACTTTTCTAAGAAATTTTCAATGCTGTGTTTTATTATTCTGCGATTGTAAAAAGTTTATCGAAAATGTAGGTATTCGGTTTGATAAATATAAATAACAATAAACTGTATTATTATATGTTATAAGACGTTTTATCAATCACATAATTTATTACTGTTAACAATGAGATTTTCGTAAAAAAAAAAAAAACAAGAAAAAAGGAAGAAATTAATTCGAATAGAACAAATACTTTCAAGCACGAAATTAATGGCATTTTGTTTAGTAAAACAAAATTAATATTTTTACAATAAAAATGATAGAACATGTTGATTAGTCAATAATGTATTATTATATAAACAATTTATTTGCTTGTACCTACGTCGTAAATGACTCGTATTGTTCACAAGCATATTGTCAATTCACTTCAATATCCGCAATAATGATTGCTTCCGCTTCTTTACTGCACTGCTAATTAATGGAAATTAAGGTGCTTAGGGTAATAGGCTAGATAGATAAAAATTAGGTATTTATCATGCTTTGATATTAATGTGTATTGTCTTACGATCATAATATATCGACAGATCTATATGAGTTCATAGAATATTCATTTTATTTATGGCAAATTCAATTAATTATTAACACGAAAATTCTAAACTCTTATTTTATGTTTTTAATTTTTTGACATTATAAAAATGGAATGAATGATTAATTCGTAAAGAACAAAATCTACATGCAATTCAATACATAAGCTACATTTACAAATTGACTATTATTTATTAATAAATGTAAAGTTGATAATTTAATTGTTTAGAATAAAAAATTGATTTTTATCGAGGTGTTCTACTTAATATTTTTTCAGTCTCCTGCTCATTCAATTACTCTTCAATTCTTAACTTTAATCATTATATCAATATTTAATAGAAATGTATGTAGAGCGCAATTAATATATTTAGAAAAAAAAAATACATACCTAAAGAACTATTTCGTAACATAAAAATAATTTAAATATTATAGTGCTGAGTGACAAGCATAAGATTTAGGAGTGGAGCATAAAAATATTTCACTCTAAGTACACCTACGCTTTCGTGTTTGCTTTTACGTTAAAATGTCTATTACTATAATTGTTTATCGCTTGGAAGTCAGATTACAGTCAAAGCAATCACGTTGTCTAGTTATTTGCGTAGGAACTTATAGGTTATCGGATTATGGTTAAACTGCTCGAGCATATAAAACTATAATTGTTTCCTATTGAATGAGAAATAGCGTCACACACATTAACGCACGCGAACGCGCGCACGCACACGTACACGCGCGCAGAGTATGTATAAGGCAAAATTTACCGTCATTAACGACCGATTATTACCGGTGATTATTAACGATGATTACCGGCATTAACCAAGTTGTAACGAAAATCTTAAATTGCATTACTTCGTGGACATTAATTACGTTATTTTATAATATAAAATTCATTTCATTTTTTCGAATAAATAAGATGGCTTAATTTAATTATGAGCTTAGTGTTAAAAAAAAAAAACTGTAAATTGATGAGTAAATTCGTTAATTTTTGAGTTATGCGAACACAATGTGATAATATCGCAATCATGTCATATTAATTATTTATTTTCCACATTTTTCTTTTCCATTCATAAATACAATCTGTTCTAATATCTTAGGCGAACAGTTTATAAAATAACTCACAATGTAAATATAATTCATTTTATATAAAATGTAAATATTAAATATGATTAATTTCAATTTATTTCAAATACGTAAAGACTTTGTCTCTCAAATATCAATAATAAAATATCAACTTTTAAATTAGTGTTATTATATATGGAAACATATAGAGTCTACGTTTTTGTTACATAGTAATACTTACACTGAATTTTAATATTCGATTTTATTATTAATTGTCTTTTATTAAAAACCACCAGTTTAGTTTATGTTAAATAACTGAATTGAAATTGCTAATTAAAACATTTACTTTTCAAATGATTATTTATAATCAAATGCATACGCTCTTAATATTCAATAGTTCACAGATACCATTAATAATATACTGAATACATTAATAATATAATGAAAATCTAAATTTTAATAAATAAATATTGTGTAAAAAGAACTTTCTCCATACATATTGTGCAAGCGTATAAGCAATGATAAAAAAGATTGTATCCACAATCGTCTTAATTTTTACGAATCTTCAAATTAAATATAATTAATAATCAATAAAAAAACAATAAAATCAATCCATTTTGAAATATCAAATGTTAATTTTAGTAATTTCTGACGAACTTAATAAATGATATATAATTATTTTTAAATTTCATTTGTTCAACACTAATAGATGCAATTATAATATAATTAAAATATCCAAAAAAATTTCAAGGAAAATTTTGTATTTCAAGCCTGTATCGTTCATTTTCACAAGACTTCAGAATAAATTTTCAATTTGATAATTTTGTAATGTTACAATAAGAATATTTCATTTAATATGTAAACATTAAAAGCTTTTACTCAAAATATTCTTGATAATATGATAAAACTTGTAAAATACAGATACATATCATATTAATGCATAAATTGCACATTATTCATAATCATTGTAATTGAAAATCTTACATGCAAAAGCTGAAGGCGAGTAAGAAAGGTATTTAATTCGGCATAAAATATGTGCAAAAATGGTGTGCGTATACATTCAAGTGACATATACATTTCTCATTTGCGCATAAAAGTCGGTGAAACTGTCAGTCAGTGCAAAACCTTGATTCATTGGAATTAACTTGTGTGTCTATAAATAACGCGAAAAGTCTTATTGACATGATATCTGCATGTATAATATTTCTAAATTATTTATGCATAAAAAATATTTTTTCTACTAAATTCTAAATGATAATGTAAGTTGAAAAGTTTGCAAACTTAATACGTATTACGAATTTAGAAATTAAGCTATCAACAGAATATTTATCCGAATATTCTTGAATAATTAATTATATAAAATTATAGTATAATGTGAAATTGAATTATATGTAGACATAGTGGGTTATGTAATAATATTTATGTAATAAAAATTTTCTTTAATTTCAATCTGTAATTGCATATAGATTAATCTTAATTTAGTAAATGTAATGGGAAATTAATTTTAATTATGTTTAAATAAGATTAATGTCAACAACGGCTATATATACGAAGCCATTGTACGAAAAATGTTTATAACCTGTAAAAAAATTTGTAACCTTTACATTGAGGCCAATAATTTGTTAATGCAATCGGTAAGAATAAGATTGCAATTAGGCTTTCCCATGTTCAATGTTTTATACCAGTGAGCTGTGCTTGTATGCATTAAATGATGAAAATAATTATAAAGAATAGTTAAATAAAATATAAATCTAGTTAGTTATGATTATTTAACTTGATGATTTTTAAAAAATACATCATCGACTAGAAAAATCAACGATTTAATGATTAGATATTTTGGATTTAATATATTCCAAACACAATCTACAAGATTAATATAGACATTATAGCAAAGTCTTCCTTAAAAAAAAAAAAAAAAAAAAAACTTCTTCAGAAATACTGAAAGGTTCAATCCGTTCAATCCGTCAAGGTCATGGACCAATAGTACAGAGTGTCGTTAGCTATACTTGTGATGGTGCGGCAATTACATACATTCGATTATGTTTTTTTGTCGATTGTCAAGAAAGCGAAAGGTACGAGTTAGTTGAGTACTGCACTTTTATCTATATAGATAAGGAACATTTTATGGATTATTTTATGATTGAGAAATTTTGCATATACGTTAAGCATATAAAATTGACTTTTTTTAATATAATTTTTGTAACTAGCATTCCAAATATATTACTTTAAGATAATATTACATTCATAATGAAATGAATAATACATTTCTAGTTACTTTTGCACATTAAAATAATATTCTGATAATTCTACTTATTTATTTATTTTTTGACGCCATATATATTTATAAAATTATTTAATATAATTTTTTTTTCTCAAAAGTCTCATATAATTTACTTTTTTTTTCTTTTTTAATAATATATATTTTGAATAATTATTATTAAGAGCTTCATTAAAATGCAAAGTTGAATTCTTCTTCTTCTTCTTCATCCTATACATTCAACAAAGAACTATTTTTACAATTAAAATTCGTTTCTTTTCTATTGTTTCAGTTATTTTTATTGTCATTGGATGGATAATTGTTTTTAAATTATTGTGAATTTTGCAAAGTGAACTTTGGTATAAACTATAATATTAACGTTAACGTAATTAAATATAAAACAATTTGGCGAATCGTAAATAACATTAAAGCTTAAGTTTGTAAGTAAGTCGAAAGCAAAAGAAACGTCGACAGTCTATTAAATATAAATTCACTCGTATGTATTTTATTAGGATTTATTACTTTGGTTTGTAATAGAAATACTCGATAACTTTATAGTCGAGAAATGTTTGTTGATTACCCATATAAAATAATCTTTAAATTCTGTATTTGCAGTTTCAAATGAAATTTGAAACTTCTTCCTATTTGCATTTATTAGATTCAGCACTTAATTGAAAAGAACACTTAGAACATATGTCTCGACAATAATATCATTAATATTTAACAGTTCTAAGTATCAATAAAAGCCATCAATATGTTAGTTAATGAAAGCCATCAATTATATTATTATTCTTGCAACGAATTATAAACAAATTGCATAACGTCTTACATATGTATAGTGATTTTTCGCATATACTAACAGTGACTTCTTGGCCAAGTATAATGAAATTGCGTTGTAATAAGGTTTGCATGCTCGTGATTGTAAAATAATAAAAATAAAATCCATCATATTGTTTGCTCATCGAATCTGTGGATATAAATATACATTTTATGAATGTCTTCCATATATATTTAACGAACAGGTGTAATCCGACCCCACGCACGATTACCCTACAACGATGAACTTATTTGTATAATCAGCGAATAACTATAGTATTTATTAATTAAGATGAGAATAAGTAAATATTATGCGTCACTACTTGACTATAATCCGCAAGATAATAAGGCAGTCGAACGAATGAAAATAATATTTGCAAATGCAAATAATACCAGCCATGATGTTTGGTTTACGCATCGATGTATCTGACTTCCGGTATTTTATTTATCTCCCTTGCCATAGCCTCACAATGTTTTCAATTATTGCTCTTACTGCATAAATTCCAGTTTGCTTTTTATACTTTTCGCGAAGCTATAAACATCCGAAGCAAAGAGCAGCACTACCTCGTGGAATATCGTAACGAGCGTGGCTGGGGTAGCAGGTAGGAGGTAGGGGGAAGGGAGTGAGGGATTGGGAGGGGGATGGGGGAGTAGAATGTTGTAGTAGGTGTTGAATTGCCCAGGGAGGGAAAGGACGGAAAACATCGATGAGCTTTTGGCGTATATTCCAGAGTACGCGAAGAGTGTAAGGTCAGTGTCGGCTGATAATCGCGACAATTAATTTCGCGCGCAAGGCCGTCCGGCTGCTTATTTTACCCTCTCGCTCGCACTTGTCGTCGTATTGGACAACGCAATAATAGATACTCACCCCCTTTTATCTTTATAATTAACAATATAAATTGCATAAACTGCTGCGATGCTATCGTTGTCGAGAATTTATAGTATATAGGAGCAAACGCAGTGCCAGCGCATTCCTATTCCCCGCTCGTTTCGGTCATTTTCTCCGGGTAGATCCGATGGGGGTATATGAGCTCCTAAGGACACGACCATTTGTCCCGGCTTGAACGACGGTTCAAGTGAGGCGTCGTTATTATGCCCGGCAAGCGTTTTCTTTTTTCATCTTCAACGGTGCAGGAGGGACAGACAAGAGAGGCTGTGCATCACGAGTGGCTTTCGAGTGCCGTAGCACTGCAGCAGTTCGCGATAAATTTTCATGCTTCCGTGCTTGATAAAATATGCCTTAGTGAGCGTGCAATAGTGCGCTTTAACGCGGGATAAATCATTTTAAAATTATCTTTATGAATGTTGGACGATAATAAAGTACGGGGTGGTGCGTAATGTTATACATTTTCAGTAAGTATCGAGCTGAATATTATACGGCTGAGTAATCGAATACCTTAATCTTTTTACAGCCTCTTTATAAAGCTCGAAAAATCCTTAATTGAGTATAGCCTCGTTATGTAAGAGTTGGTGCAAAGCGACGTATCGGCATCCACTTATCGTCAAAAAATCATCGAACGGACGTAGTCCAAAATTAAATCGAGCTGTTTACTGACAATCGCTACAGTCCTGAGTATTTCGTTATCAATGTTCATTTCCTTACAACGAAGCCTGAATCTATTAGTTGCCGTAAACTTAGGCACTATTAGCGCGGAAAAGTGCGTTTGGTTTTTGTCTCCTCGTCGCGTCAAGTGTCGATTCAACCAGCCGATCAATTAAATATCACGAGGATGATATATTGAGCAATCCATTGAAATTATCCTCTAAGTCATTCCGGGCGAGCGTCATCAAATTCTCGGGCTTAGAGGCGCGGCTCATTGGGGCTTTTTCCGACGAGGAACGCACTCGCGGCTCGCTACGTCGTGCCTTAGCGACGCCAACGTCATCCTCGCGCGGATAAGAATGATGAACGAGCCTTGCCGGGAAGCGCGACGAGCAATTTCCCATTCCCACGCCCTAGCCAGCGCGAGATCTCTCCCCCCCCCCCCCCCCCCCCCCCCCCCCCCCCCCCCCGCTCCCTCGACTCCGTCGTCGGCAATCTTAGACTTTATCCTCCGAAGATCCTCCTAGGCTCCGACGATTAGTTACGTCCTGCCCGAGATAGCTGGATTCTCTGATAGCTTTTATTTTGGAAGATCGTATTTTTAGCGCACTATTATGGGAAGGCATTTATTATTATTATTATTTGTCAATAGCATTATTTCCCATGATTATTAAGTATTTGAGTAAGTATAGGGAATATTAGGGCCTTTCCGCTAATACAATTATCGCCAAAATGGCCAAAATGGCAAAATGGCAAAATGGCAAAAAGTGAAAATTTTAGAAACCAAGGAACAATAGTAAGTATTGTAAAAGGATATGTAAAATCATTGTGCAATGCTTGTTTATGTAAAGCATACGTATGTAATGTACAATAATGGCGTTATTATATCTAATAGCATGGGATAAGTGAGATTAGGTATGAGCAGCCATGCGAGCAGTATTTACAATCGCTCAAAACGAAAATTTAATAGCAATATTTCATCTGCTCGAGATAGATTGAATAAGTGTGTAATTTTCATTGACGAAGACGTCCGAGATATATTGGTAGCATCGTTGGTATGGGCCGACTCGCTAAGTACTTTCGATTTGTCCTTCATTTTTATTTTCCAATTAGGGACCCGCCCCTCTGCTCCGACCCGTTCAATCCTTGGACGGTGTTACGTGTTGTTAGATTTTACGATGTAAATTTATTAAATTTGCTCTTAATGTAATTTTTATGTGGCAGATTATACCGATATTGATTATCATTTTCTCTTTGCCGATGCGCATATAAAGTGTAAATTAATAGTACGAGCATGTCTAATTGCTCGATTATTATGCAATATCGAGGCATTTAATTCGGCGTGTTTACATACTTTTCATTTTAATTAATATCTATGTCATTTATCAATGTAATTTTCTAATCGATATTCTTTATTAATTCTATCTTTTTCTTTTTTTTTTTTTTCATGCATTGGTTACTTTACTCACGTGTTAATATTATAGTTAAAATTGTAATTAATCGAGCATGAGAAAAAAGTCTTTAGAATAAAATTAATAAGAAACATATTTGAAAAGTTCTCCATCATTCATGATTATACAGGCTTATTCTTACATATTACTGTATTATCACATTAAATTGATTTGTTCTTAATAAATTGTAATAAATAGATAGTTTCCATATTCTTAATTCAATCTTTCTAATGACCTAATAAAAATTAAAGATTTTTTACGTTACGTATTCTTATTGAGAAAAATTTTAAAAGAAAAATGTATGAAAATGTAGTTATATAGGAAGCAAGAGTAGTCAAATCTTATTTGAATTTTGCATTTTAAATGCAAAAATCATTGGCATCTATACTATGGATCGGAATGTCAGAAAGTTTATTTAGAGAACAACATATTCTACAATAAAATCTGTTTAATAAGACCATATTATTATAAAACCGATACTAGCATAGTTTTACAAAAAAGTGTTGTTACAATGGGAAAAGATATTAACTAAAACATTTTTGACTAAAGATTTATATTCCAAATTCCAATTTGATGGGGGAGATAAAGCATTGCAGTACGGTATTTTATAGGAGTCATTTCTTAATCGTGAGTAACGTACATTTTATTTTAGGAATTTCAGATTTTTAAATTATTACATATTAACGTTATAGTATGGTTGGACGAAAAATCGCCTTTAATAAGTACAGAAGTTGGATTTTCTTTTGTTTTCGATATTTTCATTAACGAATTGTTTGTAATTTTTATTTTAAAAGCAACATTCATGTATCTTCGACTTTCAATTGCATAAAATTTCATTAAAAGGTAATATACGTTTATATATACATTTAGTGAATACATTTTTATTTAATTTGCATTTATTTGTAAAATTTTTGCATACTTACATATTATCACGTATACTTGATGCTGTATAATATTAAATTAATTATGAGCTTAGTAATGTATCTCAGCATATTGAAAGTAACTTTTAATATGTAAAAAGAGGCGATACATTTATCTCCCGTAGGATTGTAATGAATAATTTTGTTGATGGGACGAGGTCGTCCTAAGGCATTATTTGTTCTTCTTCGCTTTGCTCTTAATTCGACATTAAACATTAAAGTTCGAACGTCAATTATGACTTTTCTATGATTTTTCCTATTTTTCCCGCCCCTTAATCTCGCATCAACATTGCTGCCTCCGACTCCAATACATTCCCGCTTTCATTGAAACACACCCGTCCAATAATGCACCGCCTCTCCTATATATATATATATATATATATATATATATATATATATATATAACAATAGTCATTCGCACATGATGCAATCTTTACAAATTATTTCTCGCTGTTGGTAGCACCTCGAAGACGTTCATCATAGTACCTTCACGGACACTTCATCCCAACGATTGCAATGGAAAAGCGACCGAAGCTACAAGCGTATCAGCCAGGATACTGCCAACAATCAGCTCAGGCTAATTATTCTGCATTTTTCCGCGGGCGGTAAGCCGCCGTAAGTAGCTGCTGGTAAGCGGAGGTAAGCGGTGAGTCGAAGGTCGAAGGTCAGGTGAGCCCGTTAGCGTGGCAGTTACTCAAGTGCCTCGGCGTCGATGCGTATCACCACCTCGCCCGTTTCGGAAGGTCGAACTCCTCGAGGTGCAGAGGGAATTCGGGCCACGCAGGGGAGCCGATAACTGGATCGCGTACTTTAATCTATGCGCGTTGCACAACGTCGAGGAACGAAGCGACCGAGGATGCCTGACCTGCGGCACTTAATCCGATATCGCCGCTTTCTTAGCCGCGACCTGGCCTTTTGAAATTTAAGGACGCATCGCGCAACGAGCTTAGCCTCAAAGCTCAAAGCCGAGCCATTTAACCAATCGTTTTGTTCCTGTTTACGTTATTCTCGAAGAAACGAGAACTTTAATGGCCGATAATATTTTACGCCGTTGTTCGGTAAGGAGGAAAAATGTTTTTTCGCACGAATAATAAAAAATGATGCCTGTAATTTATGCTCGTAAAAATTATGGCCATGAATGATGTGCTTATATAATTCCAGCTACCTTTTATGCTTACAGCTTTCCTTTACGGCTTCATGTCGTTCTAGTTGATACCAATTATTTTATTAAAATCTGTTTTACGACAATAATTTATCGGCTTTGTGGAAGAATATTTACTATTTTTGCCATCCCGTTCACGCACACGCACACGCGCACACATGCATGTCAGTCAGTTTATAGTTTCACGAGAATAAAAGTAAATTAATATTGCAGATCACTTAGATTAACATTATTTATGTGCTTTAGTTTCATTAATTTCAGCATTATTTAATGTTTGTCAATTTAATGTTACACAATAAATATTGCTTAACTTTAATCTCATATTAAATGTTTTAGTAAGAATTATGTATTAATCGCGGAGGGTAAGAGTAGAAATTAATACAATTAATGTTTCATTATATTATTAAATCAGAAATAATGGGCAAAAAACTTAAATATAAAATAACGTACTGCTTTTTCATTTAATGATTTAATCTAAATATTTTTTTTATTTTTTTTATTTTTTTTTTCAAGGATTTAACGTATCGTTGAAGACTATTCGAATCCTTTATCTCACCTTATACATTAAATTCCACTCACAATTTGTATAAAAAGGGGCAGTCGCATTAAAATGACATTTTTCAAATTCCCCACGAAAATTTATCATTTGCAGTTGGGTAATTTAGTACTTTTATCGTTTACGATTATAAAAGCTGAAGTATTGTTCCAATTTAAACGTTTCACTAAATTGGCTGTGCTTTACCCGGCACGCATACACTGTACGCATGCGTTGAGATATGTCAACAAGACAAATTTGTGCTAAGAAACATTAATTTGACGCTAAGAAATATAACGAATACAAATATACAGTCCATTAAGTGCGCACGTCAAACTCTCACTCCAAATATTCCGGAATTCCCATTATATTATTCATTCGGAATAATTTTAACAATCAGAGGAGATATCGAAGAAATCGAGCATATTTTATAAATTGCTTCGTTACACGCGCATATACAACTAATTTATTCATCACATCGTTCTTCATTTTTTCGCTACGTCTTATACAATGTTTACCGTATATTATTATACTCGGCCGTCGCTCTTCTCTTATACTTTATAGCGAAATTCCAGAGTTGCGTCGCGATCGCTTTGGATTCTCGCGTGCGAACTTTCACCGCAGCAAGCAGCAGCAGCAGCAGCAGCAGCAGCAGCAGCAGCAGCAGCAACAACAACAACAGCGACTCTTGATGTATGCATCCACGCGCTCCAAAATCACATTTATTAATAACGTTCAATAGTCCAAGTTGTATATATGCACGGACGCATCTGTATGAAAAATTCCGTATTAAACGACCCGGACACACCTATAGAGTAAATTATTTTGTAAATATAACGTAAGGATACGTCGGGCAGTCATACGCGACTCAAAACATCTTAAACGGCAACAAACGAAAATAGCACTTTTACGTTAAATTAAAAATTTAATCTCATATTATCAACAAAGTCACATCACGATTATGGACTCCCGATAAATAAATGGCATCGTGTCCGTACTAAATAACCCGCAGAGCCCTTCTCTGCTTTTTTAAAATAGGGCCCTCGGTCGGACAAACGCACCGTCGTAACAGGGTTTCCCCGGCATTCGGGTCTTTCCCCTCCATGGTTCCTCGCCCTCCACGGACCTAAACTAAGGGGCGTCGGCGTGGAAAAACCCGTGCAGACAAAACGCATACATGACACGAGGCTCGTATGCGTCGGGCCGCCAACTTTCACGCGCCAGCTCCAACGCCCTCGCATATCGCGTGGCGCGAGACTGGAAAACGACCGCGGCTTAATCAGTCGTCCTTGTTGCGTGCGCGCGGCGCGTGCAAACGAGGCGCGTGATGTCGTCGAGGTACTCTTCCCCCACCCTCCCCACGCCAATCCACCTCACCACCTCACCACCTCACCACTACACCAGCTCACCATCTCAACATCTCACCACCTCCCCTCACCACACACTACACCACACCACACCACACCACACCACACCACACCACACCTATGCCCCATCCCTCCTGAAATCGCTCACTCGTTTTATCCTTCCTTTCCCATATCCAAATACGATTCAAGGCGATCCATCGGCTTTTTACCAGACCTTTTCGTAAATTGAGAAATCGAATGCCTTCGTCCTCTTAGCCCGATTCTTCTTCGTTCCGAGGTGAGAAATAGCATCCCGAACACGCTTTACCGTTCATAAAACAATTGAACTCTCAATTCTGATCATGAAATTCTTATCTTCGGA